GTAAAGAGTACAGTGACTGGGTCAATTGACCACTTCCTATCTGCGGGATGATCATCCAGGACATCCGACCCAGAAATGATTACAAAAACCGCCAAAAGATGACATATCCCTAAACCCAATGGTCAATGATTATTATCCCTATTAAATGGCTATAATTGGGAATATACCCTATTTTCAGACAAACCCATATGGTAACTATCTAGAGTTATTAAAAAAAAAAACATTAGGCCACTCAAATCCCATCTTTGTTTCCCTCTTTGATGCAAAAATCAAACTGAATCTAGGGCTTAGCTATGCTGGGGTTTGATTTCGCTGCCAATTCGTTGGAGTCCGAAGTGGCGGTAAGTGATCAATTAACGAAGCTGAAAATGACTGAAATAAGGCCATTTGTGCATACCGTAATGCAACGGAATAAAACAAGTGGGCAAGATTCCCCGAATGTGATGTTCCCAACTATATTTGTTAGGTTTGCTCCCTTATAATGATCGACCAACCGGGGGTTTGAACACTTCTCAGGTGAAAAAAACACCTAACACCCCGCGGAAATATCATTTTTCACATCTCCAAATCTCCTCATGTTTTCACACTTCCACTTTGCCTATGACACCACCGTCATGCTCAAAGGTCTACATGCTCCAAACAAGCACTTGGGCGAAAGCCGGGCTTTCTCGGAGCTCGCCTGAAAAGGCATCTTCTTCGCCTCGGAGGTGTAAGAGGTGAAACCAAGCGAGTGGTTGAAGTAACATGATGAATATACTATATAGTATCATGTTGTATTATATCATGATACTATACTATACTATATTATACTATACGATGCTATACTATACTACACTATACCATATCAGTTTATGTTATCTATTGTATTATATTTTACATTATAGTTATTTTACTATACATTGAATTATACATTAAATCATACATGTATAATACATTATAATGTACTATATCATAAAATACATAATACATCATTATACACTATAAATAATATTATTTCTATATAAAGTATTTATATTGTAGTGACATTGTAGTGTAGTGTGGGGTTGTCTCAAATTCAGCTACCCAACAATCTCACCATTAATAATCTTTAATATATCTATGAAACTATTTGTTTTGTTTTGGGGATATGCTGTTGTTGTTGTTGTTGTCGTCGTCGTCGTCGTCGTCGTTGTCGTTGTCTTCGGTCGTTGTCCTTGTCCTTGTCCTCCTTGTCCTCCTTGTCCTCCTTGTCCTCCTTGTCCTCCTTGTCCTCCTTGTCCTCCTTGTCCTCCTTGTCCTCCTTGTCCTCCTTGTCCTCCTGGTCCTCCTGGTCCTCCTTGTCCTCCTTGTCCTCCTTGTCCTCCTTGTCCTCCTTGTCCTCCTTGTCCTCCTTGTCCTCCTTGTCCTCCTTGTCCTCCTTGGTCCTCCTTGTCCTCCTTGTCCTCCTTGTCCTTGTCCTCGTTGTCGTTGTCGTTGTCGTTGTCGTCGTCGTTGTGGTTGTGGTTGTGGTTGTGGTGGTTGTGGTCGTTGTGGTTGTGGTTGTGGTTGTGGCTGTGGCTGTGGCTGTTGCTGTTTCTGTTCTGTTGCTGTTGCTGTTGGTGTTGGTGCTGTTGGTGTTGGTGTTGGTGTTGGTGTTGGTCTTGTTGTTGTTGTTGTTGTCGTTGTTGTGGTTGTGGTTGTGGTTGTGGTGGTTGTGGTGGTTGTGGTTGTGGTTGTGGTTGTTGTTGTTGTTGTTGTTGTTGTTGTTGTTGCTGCTTGTATTTCCTGTTTGGTTTGGTGACATGACCCCAAACAATCCTGAGACTTTGAGCCCGCATTCAAGTTGCTGCAAAACATGGGCAGTGTTTGACCTCGCAGGGTGAAAATTGGTCAAGAGTACTGAGTGCGATATTGAAAAGCAAAACAAAATATATATCATAAAAGTAAAAACGAAAAAAAAAACATGACAACACACACACACACGGAAGTCTCGCAAGAAGTTCATCCTTGCAGTTTGGGACAAGTCCTTTCACCGGCCGAAAGTCCTTTGGGATCATCGCAAGAACAGGATGCCGCGTTCATGGATGATTTTCAGCCACTGCTCATGTGGGATTGGACATTCCACATTAAAAATATATAGCTGTATCCTCGAAAGGTCGCAAAAAATGCCGAAAGTGGGTGTCTTTTCCGAAAGTCGGCATCTTTACTCACATATGGGCATTACATGGCATTATTATAATGTATATCTTCCCAAACATGTTGTTTTTCCTTGAATCCTTTCATACCGTCGACCGTCACGATAAGGACCGCTTAGCAGCTGTGATGTGAATAGCAACGCTTAGAATCACTTGGGTGCAAAAAGAGGGGCGAAACTTCGACACTGATTCCACATTCACCTTTTTGTCAGCCCTATTTGCTCAAATAGAGTAAGTGGATCTTTGAGTGGAAAACATATGGTTTTAACGAGCCCCTTTAGAAAAGAAAATGATCACGTCTTTTCCCATCCACTGGGTGTTTTGTTCCCTGACAAATGCTTCTGAGGCAAATCATCGAATAGCCATGTTAGACTACTGGAGATCACAAACCAACAGCCAACATACCTGTAAATTCAACGGTCACAAATTATATAATGCTCACGGCACGTTTTGAATTCGAAAACTTAATTTAGGGAAACAAGAGAAAGCGATCCTCCACAAATTGCCTTTTTGATTCATGCAGTTTGTTTACTCTGGGCCCTTTAAAGCCGCTAGCTGTTTTTATATTAGCTAAGGAATTCAACTGGTGGAAACTGGGTTTCCAAAGCGTGCCCTTGCAAAAACAATTATCTCAGCCTCTAAAGAGTGGCGATGTTTCAGCTTGCGAACTGTTAACTTACCAGGGGTATTCCATCAAATCCCATTAAATCGCATTTCACCCCATGAACCCACATCAATCACTGCTAAAAACACAATTTAAATTCATTAAACAAAAACATGAACTCCAATGTTTTATAATGTTTTTGTGGTTCATACAATTTCCATGAAACAAACAAATCATATACCCTCTGGTAAACGTTTACATAGCTATGGAAAATCACCATGCTACCAATGGGAAAATCCACTATTTCTATGGCTATTTTCAATAGCTATGTTAGTCATTACCTATAGTTAGCTAAGTTGGTTTATAACTCCCATAACTATGGTTTATGGCAGATATAACTATAGTTTTCATGGGGTTTATAAACCAACAAACATCACTGGGGGGCACCATCCTGTATGAACTATCAAATCTGATGGTTTTCCCGTCGTGTTTTCCATGGCTTTTCCCACAAAAAAAAACGTCATACGCCGAACCGCGGGCCGCGCCTCGAACGTTTTGGCGTCCTCGGCGTTCCGTGCAAGGTGCTCCGAGAGCAAGGCCTCCAGCCTTGGCAGTCCTTGGTAGTCCAATTTTTAATGATGGGGATAATGATGGCTAATGATGGTTAATGATGGTTAATGATGGTTAATGATGGTTAATGATGGTTAATGATGGTTAATGAGGGATAATGATGGCTAATGATGGTTAATGATGGTTAATGATGGTTAATGATGGTTAATGATGGTTAATGATGGGGATAAGGATGGTTAATGATGGGGATAATGATGGTTAATGATGGTTAATGATGGTTAATGATGGTTAATGATGGGGATAATGATGGTTAATGATGGTTACCCTCTGGTAAATTAACATAACTATGGAAAATCACCATAGAAATAGTGAATTTTCCCATTAATAGTATGGTGATTTTCAATAGCTATGTAAACGTTTACCAGAGGGTAATGATGGGGATTATGATCGTTTTAGTGGATCAATGCCAAATGACTCAGGAAGCGATTTATTGGATGAACCACCTTAAGTAGCCTCAGATATTTCATGGGAATATGATGGACCTATGATGGGAATATCATCATTAAAAATGGGATATGATATAGCCTCCGGTTATGTCAAACAGTTTGCGAACTTGAAAATGGCCATAGAAATAGATGATTTACCCATTAATAGCATGGTGGATCTTTCCATAGTTATGTAAACGTTTAGCAGAGGGTACCTACCATGTTTTTAGGCCTATTTTTCAGGCCTAAATTTCAGGCAATATCCCCACAATTTATATGGTCTGAAATATGGTATAGCAGCTCCATTTTAGGATCCTGAAATTACCATTGATTGGAGAAATTGTGACCCCAATCTTTCACTTACCAAGGACTAGCCCATCTTTACTGGTTGGTGGTTGACCTACCCCTCTGAAAATATGAAAGTCAGTTGGGAGAATTATTCCCAATATATAGAAAAAAAACATCTTCCAAACCACCAACCAGTTTACCGCTAGTGTGGCAGGATTGATTAACTATAAATGTAACTTTAAGCCTTTAAGCCAATAACTATACCCAGATGCTCCATATATGGAATATTTACCTACATGACTGGGTCATTTTGGTGGTAAATTTGACTACCATTTTTTATGTAATAGTGGCCATTTCAATACTACCATTTTCAATCTACCATTTTTGGTAGTCCTTGGTAGTCTCAAGGGGCCGATTGAATAGAGGTACCGATATCGCATCTTTCTAAGGCCTTTTAAAAATAGGGCTATGTAAAGGGAATATACATAGCCTCGTATGGTACATACCATTTATATAGCCATATAGGTACCATAGCCATACATACCATTTATATAGCCATATGGTATAGCCATCTACATAGCCTCATATAATACATAGCCATATAGGTACCATAGCCTCATTTCTTTGGCCCCTTTATGGTACAGTACCTCCGTTGTAGGCTCCTGTAAAATATCCCATCGATCCGTCATTTTTCCGGTGCCTGGTTCGTCAGAATGGAGGCTTCAACAGGTCATCGAAGGAAAATGGTGAATTGTCTACTGCCACCTTTGATGACACCGGAGGTAAAAAATGAGACTAGTTTATGATAATAGGATAACAGCATAAGTATCATCAGGTGAACACAGTGAGTCCCTGAATTCTCGGAGGTTTTTGTCCATCAAGAGTAGGGTTCCCAACGATTGGTAGACATGTTCCCATCAATTTTCAGGTAAGTTGCCAGCCATGTGTCATGACACCGGAAGGTAGATGGATACGTCTTATTGCTGTATGGTGACATATATGTATTCATAACCAACACCAGCACCAGCACCACCACCACAACAACAACAACAATAACAGCAACAGCAACAACCATCACAGCAACAGCAACAATGACAGCCACAGCCACCGCAACAGCAGCAGCAACAACAACAGCAGCAGCAACAACACCAACACCCTCAAGTACGGTATTCACCATTTTAACCCCATATCTATATTTGTGTTAAATCATATTATATAAATCTCCCTTTTGGGTTGGGTAAATATCCATTAATCCCAAGTCATGACCCATAGTGGATATACAATTCCATGCCCCTAAAACATTAATCCCAAGTCATGACCCATAGTGGCTATACAATTCCATGCCCCTAAAAAAAACACCCTCATTCTATGGTCCCAAACCCAGGTGTAAATCCCCACCCCAGGGTGACTCTTGGGGTGTTTTTTTTCCAGGGATGGGATTACCCATAGTGGATTCAATGGGGATTAGCAACTGGGGATTACCATAGGAACATGGAGGTTTCAATGGGAAAATCATAGGAAAACCATTGGAAAATGGAGGTTTACCCTCTGGTAAACGTTTACGTAACTATGGAAAGATCCACCATGCTATTGATGGGTAAATCCACTGTTTCGACTGAGCCATTTTCAAGTTCGCATACTGCTTGACATAACCAGAGGGTATGTTACATCAAAAAGATCATTTGATTCCCAGTCTCTCCCAACAAATTCTCTTGGTATCCCAATCACTTCCATAGTACGTCCGGGTTAAATCACATTGAACTATCATAAAAATCACCATTACAACTACATCTACTCTGCAATTAGGTTGCTAGCTTATAGGTCAACAATAATTCCTGAGTTTCTGTGCGTAAAGCAATAGGATCCATAATCCTCAAATATACCATTTTCATGGCTGGCCAAACTATGGGTGGTTTATTATTGCTTTACTAACATTACCCTCTGGTAAACGTTGACGTAACTATGGAAAGATCCACCATGCTATTAATGGGTAAATCCACTATTTAGACTGGGCCATTTTCAAGTTCGCAAACTGTTAACCAGAGGGTATCCCCAATCATAAATAACTTGGGTTCCAAGGTGCCAAAGTAGTGCGCTTCCGCTTGAAGAAAGCGGCACACTTGCCGGTCGGATGGGACGTTAAACAGCTCCTCGTCCTCGTCCGAGACAAAAAGAGATGGCCACTCCCGGATTTCTTTGACATGGACCCCCCCAAAAAAGTGGTTATAATACCAATAATAGTTGTTATATATGGATTATATGATGGGATAAATTATCATCTGGTTGGTGGTTTTAACCATCTTGAAAAATATGAAAGTCAATGGGAAGGATTATCCCATATATTATTTGGAAAATCAAAAATGTTTGAAACCACCAACCAGAAAGTGATTTAAACCTCAAAATGGTGATTCTAAATTTTGCCAAGAAAAAATGGAATGTCACCAAACATCATGCGGATTCAGATGGGATTCAAATGGAATAATGAATATTATGTATATACATATCTGTATGCATATGTATATATGTATAATGATAGTATGATAAATACACTGATTTCAGAGGTATATCCGCAGTTGCTTGGGTTTACAAACATGACTTTGGGACCCCTTCTTGTATGGAACAAAAAAAACGATATGGACTCTGGCCATTTTGGGTTCTGTTTTGAATTTGGCGGCTGTATTCACAATGAATAGTCCATTCCTATTGAATCAATGTGTTGTAAAATTAAAGATTAAGGTTTTCTAAAACATCACGAGTGCCCATGCATGTCAAGTAGTTATTGCCCAAATTATCCTAAATTACCCACCTGTGGTAATCATATTAATATGATATTGCAGATATTTTTATAGTTAATTACATATATACTCTCTGATGATTTAATATGGCTATGGAAAATGGACCATTTTTTTAACCATTTAGAGATGATTTACAAAAAAATGGTGATGTTCCCTAGCAACCAAAAAAACAAGGGCTGATAGAACAACTACCGCACACCGATCGGCACCTGCCATCCACTCTCATCCCCAAAATTTTGTCGGCGACTCGGCGACCATGTGGGGTGTTTTGTTGCTCGGAAAACGGAGACAAAACACAGAAAACCCGGTATAATATGACATTTAATAACATTGCTAACAGCATGGTAAATAACATTGTTTTGATTTAGGTTTCCATAACGGGAGATTCCATTTTATTTTAAGGAACACATCTTGCCGCCAGGCCCTCAGTTTCCCTTCAACGGCACCTCTAAATATTGCAAAATGAAGTTGAACAAAGAGCCGTCTCGGTCCAAAAACAGCCTCGGTTCCACTGGAGTCCGCGGTGGATTTCAACAACAGAAAAAAACGAAGCGTAGATGTGATGAATGGTAGCGAAAGTGGTTTACACGTAGGCTAAGCAGAACTTTTGTGGATACAGCAATTAAATATAATTCTATATATATATATATATTTATATATATATATATTTTCAACATATATATATATATAATTAAATATACAAATTTACACATAATATATATATATATACCAGTAGTACGGCACAAGGCGGTGGCGGAAGTTTCGAAAATAGGAAACCTATAGGAGAAGTGAGTTGTTGTGATGCATGGATGGCAGAGCGAATCCGCTGATGGACCGAAAGGTGGTTGGGGTTGTGTTTTTTAGGGTGGTTGCGGTGGTTGCAGTGGTCACCTCACCCACAACTCTTGGATGAAGTGTGGCGTAGTGCAGTTCTAGTTGTAGTTGTAGTCGTAGTTGCAGTTGTAGTTGTAGTTGTAGTGGAGTTGTAGTTGTAGTGTAGTATAGTGTAATTTGTGTAGTGGTAGTGCAATTAATGTAGTGTGGTGTAACGTATGTAATGTAGTTGTAGTTGTAGTTGTAGTTGTAGTTGTAGATGTAGTTGTAGTTGTAGTTGTAGTAGTAGTAGTAGTAGGAGTAGCAGTAGTAGTAGTAGTAGTAGAAGTAGTAGTAGTAGTAGTTGTTGTTGTTGTGTAATTAGCGTAATGTACTGTAATTAGTGTAGCGCAGTGTTGTGTAATGTAGTGTAGTTGTAGTTGCATTTGCATTTATAGTTGTAGTCTGCTGCAGTGGAATTAGTGCAGTGTAGTGTAATGTGGTGCAGTTGCAGTTGTAGTTGTAGCTGTGGCAGTAGTAGTTGTTGTAGTTGTAGTGTAGTGTAGTGTAGTGTAATTAGTGTAGTATAATGCAGCGTAGTTTATTTGCATTTGTAGTTATAATAGTGTAGTGTAGTGGTAGGTGTAGTTGTAGTTGTCTATCTATCTATCTATCGATCTATCTATCTATCTACCTATCTATTCATCTATCTAATCTATCTATCCATCTATCTATCTGTCTGTCTATCTATCTATCTATTTATCTATCTGTCTATCTGCAATCTGCAAGTTTAAAACGAAGCTATTCTGCCAGACCTCCTCAGATTTTGAACTTGACAACATCAAAAACACAGCAATTCTGCGAGACTTCCTCAATTTTTTGACAACGTCAAAAACGAAGCAATTCTGCAAGACTTCCTCTACTTTCGAAGTTGAGAACGTCAAAAAGGAAACAATTGTGGGAGACTTCCTTCAATAATGGAAAGTTGAGGGCAGAGCTGACGGCCTCGTGCCAGTGCGTTTTGCGATTTTTCCACTTTTTGTCTAAAGTACTGCGCCTGCCACGAAAAAGTGATGCCAGGTCGTACGAAGTGCTGCACCTGTCACGCAAAATCATCTGCCCAAACCTTAAGATCTGATTCTCGAAAATGCAACCCCTCTCAGAAAATCAGCGCCCTGACCTCCTAACTTGTCTCTTGTCCTGCCACGCGAAATACATCTTTCCAGATCTTCTTCAAATGTCCCACGCCTGCCATCGTTTTTGGTAATTCTACAAAACCCTCACGTTTTGCTGATTTCTGACAAGGTGCACAATCCCTTGCGCCTGCCACGCGAAACGACATCTGAACGTCCAAAGGTGGTCCGGACATGTGGTGCTTTTAACATTTTGACTTGGAAATGTGCTTCGCGCCACGATGGCGTGCGCTTTTTCGACATGTCAACTTCCAAAAGTGGTCCGAGAATGGTGTGCTTTGTACATTTTGACTTGGAAATGTGCTTCGCACCACAACGGCGTGCACTTATGTGCACTTTTTCGACATCGCAACTTCTAAAAGTGCTCCGAACCTGGTTTGCTTTGTGCATTTTGACTTGGAAACGTGCTTCGCGCCACAATGGCGTGCACTTTTTCGACATGTCAACTTCCAAAAGTGGTCCGAGAATGGTGCGTGTTGTACATTTTGACTTGGACATGTGCTTCGCGCCACAACGGCGTGCAATTTTTTATCTCTCATCTGACCACATGGCTCCGCACCCGCCGCTTTGGCGAGCCTACTTTTCGACCCTCCGGAGCCACAAATCATTGGAAAAACACAGTGCTTCGCGACTTTCCTACCTTTTCGCGCACCTGCATCTTTTTTCTTCTCACTCTTTCTCTTCTCTGATCTTCCCTCTTCTGCTCTTCTCCTCTCTGACTCTTCCCACCTCTGCTTTTCCATCTGTCCATATTGTCGGAAGTTTGACTTCTAAACTTCCTTCGATACAGTAATTACTGTATATATAATTAGATATAATCAAATATATTTATGTATATATATATATATATTAAAAAGAAAAAAACTAATTATATATAATTATGACATATTTTGTCATAATTCAATATAACTATATATAGTTATAACATAATATATATATACATGTAATTATACATAATTATATGGAATTATATATATATATAGTTGTATAATGTTGTATATTCATGATTATATAATATTATATATATATATGTTTATAATCATGATTCGGAGTGACCGCCCAGGGACTCTTCGAAGAAGATCGAAGGGGAGCTTAGCAGTATCTTCAGAGTCGGACTCCTGTTTTTTCGCGACAACTTGGAAGGAATTTTTCAGGGAAAAACCAGTTCTCTGAGCCACAAAAAAAACACACAAAAGTGGGGTTCCTGTGATAGGGGTACCCCTGTTCATCATCCATGTTTCGTAGGATCTCCAATGAAATAAACCATCAATTTTTAGGGATAGCTCCATAAAAATGTTCCTTCATCAACTCTGGGATCTCAAGGGATGAAAAAGACGTAAAACATCAGTGGTAGATAGAGAATCCGCTGTATTCATTGGGCTATCCCAACACCATGGCTGCCTCAAAAACCTGGTAATCCCCCGTCCCCCTGATGATTTATATATCGATGGAAAGCGGAAAGCATACGGAACAATAACCACTGTTTCGCTTGAGGTATTCTTGTCACCAAAGAACACGGAACTTGGTTTCAAGATGTTTCAAGGGAGAGTTTCCATATGGTGGTTTCCTAAAATAGGGGTACCCCTGTTCATCACCCATTTTAGATTGGGATTTTCCATGAAATAAACCATCCAGTGAGCTTGGGGTACCTCTATCTATGGAAATCCCCATATGTTTAACATAAAATGGATTCAAATCGATGATATAATCGTGTGGGATCATGTCGGGTATGCCCCACTGGCCCCACCTGGAGACAAACCGATGGAAAACCAAAAGAAAGTGCTTTCCGAGTCAGTCCAATTTGAGAATCAGGGATCAATCTGGAAAATCCCCACAGGTTTATACATGTGTATATATATATATATTGATCTATTAAAAATACATATAGAGATATATACATTGATATATTAATACATAAATAAATATATATATATATATTGATCTATTAAATATATATATATATTGATCTATTAATACGTATATATATATATGTATTGATCTAGTAAAAATACACATATATATATATATATTGATCTATTAATACGTATATATATATATATATATATGTATTGATCTAGTAAAAATACATATATATATATATATATATTGATCTATTAATACGTATATATATATATATGTATTGATCTATTAAAAAATACATATATATATATATACATATCAAGATATATTATATGTACTGTACCTTTCCAGGAAACCCACCTACGCAGGAGCTTGCCCTCCGCGCGAAAGCGATATCTCGGATGCGGTGTTTGTCGGATGGGACGCTGATCCCATAATCAGTGCCGATCCATGTGTATAAATATTTATATATAATATATATCAGAATATATAGATTCACACATTTAAATTTTAGTTCTTTCAACAAAAATAGAATGTATCTATATATTATTATAAGAATGTGTATATATATATATATGTATTAGTTATGTATGTATATATATATATATACATACTGTAATAACAACTTCTATAGTATTTTGAACCATATATAATTTATTCTGGCTATCATTGATATCATAGTAATATGTTGTGTTCTTGTTCCGTGTTTTTGCCCATCTCCGTCTATTTGTAGATCCAAACTTAAATGGGACAGCCTCCAAAGAGCGATATACTACAATTATAAACATCTAGAAACAAGCCTCTGAGGAATCTCAAACAGGGCAGCTCACGTCATCTTGTTTTAAATCAAACACATATAGAAACACATGTTTTGAAGCCACAAAAAGAAACACATGTTTTGAAATTTGTTTTTGCCATTTGTTTCATGGCCATAGAGTTTAAATTGGGGGTCCCCTTTTGTCGAAAAACCTATGGTCAATATTTGTTTGTCCTGGTTTGGTCCTACCATGTCCTACCCTAACTTCAAAATATGGCTCTTGATTGTATCTCAGGGCATCGGTTGACGTTCAAAAATCATTTTTTAATGCACTGCGGTTGCCTAACGCTGGAAACCCTTTATCTAAACAATATCATTCACCAAAGTGGAATAAGGATTTGGTGATGCTTTCCCTTGAAAAAAAAACATGATTTCAAGTGACGTCGCAGTGATCTTACCATAGTTGGCACACCCCACCAGGTTGCTGGTCAGCAAGACTTGCCCTGGAACATACAGCTTATGCCCATTCTGTTCGATGATAAACATGTTGATTTACCTGTATATATATACATATATGTGGAGAGGACTTTTTGGGTTTATTTCGTTCCTACGCTCATATGTCCACACGCGTGCTTTCTTGCACAGGTACATATATATATATATATACATATGTGGAGAGGACCTTTTGGGTTTATTTCGTTCCTACGCTCATATGTCCACACGCGTGCTTTCTTGCACACGTACATATATATATATACATATATATATATATGTGGAGAGGACCTTTTGGGTTTATTTCGTTCCTACGCTCATATGTCCACACGCGTGCTTTCTTGCACAGGTACATATATATATATACATATGTGGAGAGGACCTTTTGGGTTTATTTCGTTCCTACGCTCATATGTCCACACGCGTGCTTTCTTGCACACGTACATATATATATATATATACATATGTAGCAAGAATGGTCATGAACCAGTTCGCAAACTCTTGAATCACCCGAGGGTGAGGGTTCCCAGTTCCCGCTTTGAGAATAAGCTGTTGATATGATTCGGGAACACCAAACACCTGCGAGTTGTGGGACAAAAAACGTGACCTTCGCCTTGAAACCACTGGGGGGGACCCCTCCAAATACCCCAAAACAATGGTAAAAGTACAAGCAAATTATATAAATTGGGGTGAATAACAATGTTTATGGGTACTTGGAGGGTCTAGAATGTCAACGAACACTAGATTCCTAGATCCCTCTGAGCAAAAAAAACAAATTTAGATATAGCATGCTATAGGTACTATAAATATATGTATATATATATATACAATATTCACAATTACAAGTAAGCCCATGCCTACCTACACCAAGGTTTACTCATCTCTGATTTTTCAAAATGACCAGTTCCTGGTCTGGAGATCCACAGTACCACTTGTGTTGGTTAAATCCCGAAGTAGCGCTATTAGCCTATTAGCAAAAAAATGACCCCAAAGTTTCAACCAACCCTTCACTCAGCACACTCAACTATTTTGACATGAGGATCATGTACCGTTACCCTCTGGTAAACTAACAAAACTGTGGGAAATCAGCATGTTCAATAAAAAAAGTTGCATCATGTTGAATGTATTTCTATATTTTCTATGCCCATTTTCAATAGCAAATTCTTAGTTTACTGGGGCCACCTGCTTGAGATCCCGAACCCACCAATATCAAGCTCGAAGATGTCGTGAAAAAGTGACCGATTCAACCTGATTTCGTTTCTCGGTTTTCGTATGTTTTTGCGGCAAGAACAGGATACGACTTATAGATAATAGTGGTTATATTAGTTATAATACCAATAATTAATGGTGGTTATATATGGGTTATATGATGGGATATATGTATATATATATATATATATCTTTATACTGGTTGGTGGTTTCAACCAACCCCTCTGAAAAATGATGGAGCGCAAGTCAGTTGGGATGATGACATTCCCAACTGAATGGACAGTCATAAAACATGTTCCAAACCACAAATCAGTATAGTATGCTAGTGAATCATATTTGTAGATCTTTATAGTATGCTAGTGAATCATCATCCATGTTACCCTCTGGTAAACGTTTAACAGTTCGCTATTGAACATCACCATGCTATCAATGGGTAAATCAACGATTTCTATGGCCATAGCTTCAATAGCTATGTGCATTTTGTGGATGGAACGGCCAAAAGGACAGGTCGATCGTTTCTGATTTTTCTTGGAGAACAAAGGATGGAATCGGATGGAACATCCACGGAAAAAGAAAAGACTGTGAGGCTGTTCAGAAATCCACACATTGGAAAAGAACCATAAGATGATATGCTGATGATTCAACATAACTATGGAACATTGCCCATTTATAGATGATAAAAACGAGGATTCACATACTCATAGCATGGCGATTTTCAATAGCAAACTGAAAGATAACAATAGTGTACAGTAAGATGTCTGAATTTGTTTGGCCAATCGGTAGACTTGGCCGACCCTGCCAAAATGATTGACTTTTCGCATTGATCTTCCATCAACGCCTGGGCAATGATTGCCCTTCCATTGATGAACCAAGCAGTGAGAAAACCATAATATATAATAAAGGGATGGTCTATAGTTGTCCCATAATTATGATAATCCCGCGAGTTTTTTCTACGTATATCTACGTATATCAATTCCATGACTGCTCTAGGGTGGAAGTTTCCAAAAACGTCCCTGCGCTTTGGGATATCTATAGGTCTTATAGGAAAGTCTTTTGCCTGAACAAAAACATAAAGTAGTGAATGAAGGAATCAATCAATAAAACAATGAAGCAAGCAATCAAGGAATCAATCAATCAATGAATCAATGAGCAACCAATAAATCAATCACTGAAGCAATCAATGAATCGATCAACAAAGCAAGCAATCAATGAAGCAATCAATGAATCAAGCAATCAATCAATCAATTAATCAATCAACTAAGATTTAATCAATGAGTCAATGAATCAATCAATCAATCAATCAACGAATCAATGAAGATAGGAACCACGCCAATATCAAACACCAACCTGCCCCAAACTATATTTTTTCATTTGTGTTGAAGCTTGTAAAATGTATGTATGCTTTGCACCGTGTCCAGAGAGACTCAACGCCGACGCTCACTTATCTTTAGATCAGTCAATTCATGCACCCTTTGCACTTGCTTCCATTCACCCACAGCTTCATGTGCACACTTTTGCACACTCTGATGCTTCGACTACCTGCTGTGTTAACTTCAGAACTGCTGAGGCTTCATGTGTGGTGCTACTGGTGAGCTGAAATCGGCACCGCCGACGTTTGTGACCCCTACATTGCACCAAGGGATTCTGTGGTATTGAGCATTGTATTCGCACATATATATATATATATGATATATGCCATATAAATCCTCATTTCAGGCTGGTGAAATCACATAAAACATGATAAAACCATATTTTACTTGGTACAAACAACAAAAAACCTGGTGTCTGTAAGTTCGATCAAGAAAATTCTCTGACTTGGAAGCAAGTTTTCAGAAAAGTTATCCATTTCAAGTACGCAAAAGAATCTCCATGGTCCATTTCAGTTTTCATAAGTTCTCCATTTTCATATCTCGAACATTCCTGAACCATATAAAAACATCTAAACAAAATTATCTGTGTTGCCTCAGAATCACATCTGGCATCTCCAAGGAACGTGGCAAAGAGTTGTTGGGTGGCACCCGGCGCGAAGCCTGGGCGCGCACGCGCACGCTGGGCTCCATGAATTCATGGGATATGTTCATGGGATCCAGGGGGATCATGATATGGGATGTCTTATCAGACTACCCGGCCTGGTAAACGTTTACAGTTGGGGATCATGGCACCCTGGTACCGTGCCTTGTTCACCCCAAGTCATAGCTGGGTTAAAATGGATGTGAATAACCCACTCAAAATGGTATTTTCATAGGTATTGATCCATAGCCAGTTTGCGAACTTGAAAATGGCCCAGTCGAAATGTCGTGAGTTTTCCCATGAAAATAGCATGGTGATTTTCAATAGTTATGTTGTCACGTTTACCAGAGGGTATGATTGATGATATTCATAGTAGTCTGATAATCAATGAATGGGATGAAATATTATCAATATTATTGATGATAATTCATCGATTGATGATATGACTGGTTGGCCAACTATAACTGGTTGGCGGTTTAAAAAAACATCTTGAAAAATTTGAGTTCGTCAATGGGAAGGATGACATCCCATACATGAAATGGAAATAAAAGCCATGTTCCAAACCACCAACCAGATTCTTGATGATATTCATAGGATTTAATGGAATTATTGTAGTTATATAGTGGGATATGAATGGGATATGAATGTCATCATATGAATGGGATTTTTCCAGTTACTGGGATATGAATGGACTATGAATGGGATGGAAAAATGGCTTGAAGAAAATGGTAAGAAATGGGAATCTTTATCCATTGACCCACTATCCGTGGGATGCTTATGGGATGTTTTGATGGAACATTGGATATACATATATCTGGGTAAATTATCATATTTCACTAACCTGAATCTTAAGGCCATAAAAGGGGATGATTTCCCTGTAAAAACCCATGGATTTCCAGGGGTCCGGAGAACAGGGTGAGGTCGTGATGAAATTTACCCGGATATGTCCAAAGATCGGATTTTCTGGAAAAAACCCATCATTTTCCCTAGCTGCGAAACATTTTTAAATTTGGGTGATAAATTGTTCATGTTCAAATGTTTTATGGGATATAAGTTGGATGTTCATGCGATTTAATGGGACGATTTTGGTATGTTTCATGGGATATTGGAGATAATTTTAGTTTTATCATCCTGAAGTAGATAGCATTTCATGGATTGTGAAATATACTTCCCATTTTTATGAGATATTGGATACTGATTGGGCCACTTTGTGATATTTCTAAGCCGTCTTAGCCTCCAGACAGGCATGTTTCTCCAAAATATGGCATCCTTAACCCCATTGAATCATACTTAATCATGAATCAACAGGGTGGGTTGAACACTTCAAGATACTGTGGATGGTTGCGAAATCCTGCACCAGCAGGTAGATGGTTTGTCCCTATAATCCCATCATTTACAGTGATTCATAGAATTTCCTTCATAGTTACCCTGCCTGGTGCAGGATTTCGCAACCATCCACCGCTGTATCTTTAACGACAACTTTAAGTGGCAAGGAAGATGCTCCAGGGGTGTGTGTTGGATTTTTTTTAGATGGGATTGGGATGGTGATTTTAACCAACAATATTCAATGTAATTGGATGCAAGTGGATATAATAGGAAATGTGGAGGTTTCCTAAACTGGGGATACTCCTCAATCTTGCATTTTAATAGGATGTTCCGTTATAGACTATCCCTTTTGGGGTACCACCCATTTGCAGAAACGAGATACAAGCATACTAGATAGACAAATGGTTAGATCGATCGATAGACAGATCACATGCGGGGAAGTGTTGCAATTATCAGAGATGCGGAGAGGCATCAACATTATTGCGATTTAAACGACAAATGATGGTTAGGATTCGGGGCTCTACTGACTTGGTGAAAACGATTTTTTGAGAGGTGTGTCCTTTCTCTTGATATGAAGCTCCCACGAAGCACTAGTTCTTGCAAGTAATCTATCGATTGTGGAGTCCTGATTGCCAAGTATTGTTGGGAAAGGAATGGAAAGGATTCTTCTGATCTGTGGGATGCCAACTGGGTGAATTGGGGCTGGTTGTTGGGTAATCAATATCTCTAGACACTGTTGCTGGAGAGATTCAAAGTGCAAGAACTGCTCCATTCGCCACTTAGACGTAGTGTGGGATACCCCGGCAATGTCACTGGGAAATTGATGAGAAGCGCGTCGCGAACGACTGGTCTGTTACCCGGCCTGGTAAACTAACATTAAACTATGGAAAGATCCACCATGCTATTAATGGGCAAATCCACGATTTCGACTGGGCCATTTTCAGTAGCAAACTGTTAGTTTACCAGAGGGTACCCTCCGGTTATGACTAACAGTTCGCCATGGAACATTGCCCTAATCGAAATAGATGGTTTACCATTCTTAAAACTGTGGGATTTTCCAAAACGCTACGTGAAAGTCATAACCAGAGGATATCACAGATTATAGATTCGGTTTACCTATTGAAAATGGTGGATCTTTCCATGGCTTTCAAGTTCGCAAACTGTTGTAGTCATAACCAGGCCGGGTATCACATTTTTCAGAGCCGTTGATTCTTCACTTCTGGATCTTCGGATCTGGTTTTCACCACATGGATTCCCCACATGCTGAGGATTTCCCATGGCAAAAAAAAACGGAAATCATCGACAAACTCAATGGATTGGTTTAAGGGAAAATTTACAGTAGAACCCCATATTTAATGGGAAAATCTATGGTTTCCTGTAGATTTTCCCTTAAACCAATCCATCGACAAACCATGAGAAATCCATGATTAATATGGACAAAATCCACGATTTTTCATTTTTGTTGTGGTTTTCCCTGCTATAAATGAACCTCCATTTATAAATTTGTGACTTTCCCATGTTTTATATATCATGGCTATCCATTGATATGCGTTAATATATCCATTAACATCTCCATAAATATATTCATTAACATATATATATATAATTATATATATATCCATTCATGTATCCATTGATATATCCATTCATGTATCCATTAATCCCTTCTTCCTACTTCCTATTACCTAAACCTCCCCAAATAACACAAACTAAACCAGATTGTTCGCTTTACTAGGACCTAGGACATTTCAGATTGAGCATTTTGCTGTTTAATTTATCCCCTTTAGAAACATTTAAAAATCAAGGTCCGATTTGAAGGTTCTGCCCCCTAATAAGAAAAAATAGTTAACCCCAGGGGGATTTTTTTATTAGCGCCCGTCTTTTAAAACCACTCATTTTAGTTTTGTTAATCCAAGGTGTAAAAAATAATATTAGGGGAAAGCTTCGAGATCCAATTTTTGGCAATATCTTAATTAGATTTTATTCGATAATTGTATATACAATTATGTATATATATGTGTGTCTTAATGTTTTAAATTTATATAATATTAAGGGCCAGCTTCTCCCCCGAATATTAAACACTTAACTTAGCTTTTACTATTTGGGTTGGAAGGGGGGACATTTAATGTTAGGGTGAAGGGATTAATATATCCATTACTAACCCTTTAACCAATCCCTCACAGTTCCCACATCCCGCACCTAAGCAGCCCATCTCGGAAAAGAAAAGACGGCTGAAGACACAGCCGAAAACAGCAGCTGAGGAGCGCGCGGAGCGACAGATGCCACGTACCCGGAAAAACATCGCACTCCATGAGTTTCATGTTCCATATGTATCCATGGTGCTGGTATATATGCTAACATTGGGGGTATATTGATGGTAAATGTTACCATATATAGCATACATGGATCCTATGGGTGTTCCATATGTATCCATATGTTAAATAACCCGGGGGGCTGATGTCCAAATCTTTGTGTTTCAAGCCTGAAAAAAACACCATTGGTTGGCGAAGAAAAAGAGATAATCCCAGTCAATTCGATGTCAATTCGGATGATGTCATCCCAACATATTCCAGAGATGGTCAATATGTATATTGTAAATATATATATATATATTCAACATAAACTTGAACATATCTCAAGACAATTGTTCATATTTTCATATAGTTTCAATTATAAATAAAATTCACCTATCAACATAGAATATGAATTAATAACCCAATTAAATTGATAAACAATATTCAATAATATTCATAGTTTCATATCGTTGGTGCTCAATAAATGGTCAACATCAACTATGTACGGAATGAAGGGAAGCCATCAATCGATGGTTTCCCTTCATTCGGTGAACCACCAGGGATTTAAAACTGAGGCTTCTATCATCTTCTATCCATTTCAGGTATTTACATGTGTTTACCGAAGATACAAGGTGGTGCCCCCGTTAGATAGCGTTCAGTTGATTTATAACTCCAATAACTATCGTTTAGAGGTGATATATCTATAGTTAATGGGCTTATAACCAATTTAGAACTGGGGGGGCACCACCTTGTATCTCAAACAGTCCCAATTATGGCTGAAAAAATACGATATATGACACCATGATTAGTTACTAATCAATAATCCCATAGTAAATAGCATTGAATCACCATTGTTCGCTCGTTGAATCCCATTAAATGACAATTATTCTTTGTAAAACCCAGTGAAATCCCATGAAATCACCATGTGGGGATGTGTCAAAACATCCCCAAGACCTCGACAAGCCATAGAGTTAAATCGATTTTTAGCATTAATCATCAAATTCACCAAGTTATAAATCAACCTAGCTATATGGCAGTGTGTCAAAACCAATAGTACCCCTTTTGTTCACATCAAAATAGCTGGGATTTATGGATGTTCATCCCACTAAAAATGTATCTATAGGTATTGATCCATAGCCATATTTGGCTATCACAAATGGGTGTGTCTGAAAATGTAGTGTACCCCATTGTACCCAATGGTTTTGCTGATCATTATCCCGTTTTTAAATGGCTATTTGTTTGGGAATATACCCAACATTTTCAGACAAACCCAAATCAGCTCGCACCTCCCCTTGCGCGGATGGAGCTGGCGCAGCTGGCGCAGCTGGCGCATGCGCATCAACCTGCTTGGGAGATGGCTGGCTGAGCCGAACAAAAAATGGTTGGACATCGTGGTTCAAGAGGGGCTATGAGTTTTTTGAAAGGGTTCCAAAGGACTCATCATTGGAATGGTGTTTTTTTCTAATGTTTTCAGGTTTAACCTCTGGTAAACTAAGAGTTTGCTATGGAAAATTGCAATTTTTGAAAGGTAAATCAACTATTTCTATGGCCATGGCTTCAATAGCCAACCGTTAGTTCTTACCAGAGGGTATGAGTCAAAACCCTAGCTGGATGGTACCTTAAGTCATAGCTGGTGCTGGATGGTTATTCCCATATGATAATAATAGGCTTTGACCCATCCCTGACTGGATCCCAAAGTCATGACCAGTATTGAAACACGACGCGGTTTTGGGATGGGGGTGACCACAAAAAATAGGAAACCACCATGACTCCATTTCTTGATTTTCTTTCCACTCAACTTGGATTTGCGCTACAGGAATCTCCCAAGAAAACGACAACATTCCTTTAATCGATTTATGAAGTAGTGGATTTCCAGTTGGGTTTCCGCAGTCGTCAAACCAACTCAGCAAATCAACATGATAGACATGATTTTGTGGATTACAACCCCATAACTTGGGATATTAACCTACCTGGGCTACCGTTTGACCCTCAAACTCTCCCGCGTAAAATAGTAGAAGTCTGTAAAAATATACTAGACTTTAAGGCCTAAAACACAACTTGCCAAACCCAACGGAGGGTCAAACGGTTCCCCTTTCGGCCGTTTGAAGCCTCAGGTGCTGTCTGCGGTTCCTTGTCCTCGACTCCTTCCACGGGAGGCCTGGAAGTGGAAGCAGAGGTGAGCTGGGTGAGCTTCGTGGAGAGAAGGGAGTAAACAAATATGATGGATATGTCTCTACATATATATATATATTATATTATAATATAATCATATATTTATATAATATGATTTTACATATTATGTATATATTATGTATATATATATTATGTGTATATTATATATATTATGTATATATTATGTATATATTAAATATATTTTGTAGGTAGATACATGATAATATATTTCACTGACGTGAAATAAGGCAACAAATCCTACATCCACTGAAATGGAAAAATGTTCATCAAAATGAATGACTTAGGGGTACCCCCGGTACCCCTATTTTAGGAAACCTATATATATATATTATATATAGTGGGTATAATATAATGTGTATATATATATATAGTGGGAATAATTTTGGGAGTGGGATATACATTGGCTTAACCAAGAAATTTTGAATGTGTTTGCGTATATAGTGGGATATCATGGGAATCTAATAGTTGGATACTTTAATGTATATGATAAATAGGGGTGACATATGATTTTAAGCAGCCAATTTCTTTCTTTTTTTGGGAAATTCAGCCAGCAACATATGGTTTCACCTCCATTCTGGTTCCATGTTGTATCCCTTAAGTCATGGGGGATCCCCGACCATGGACCATGGGTTTCAAGACTAAAGTGGTATAATATATATATATATATATTTATACAGATATACAGATATACATATATATATACATATATATATATTATATTATATATATATTTTATACATTATATATTATATATAGGTAATGATACACGCAATGACTTGGATGATTTGGGGATACCCCCCATGACTTAGGAAACCTAAAGTGCCGCCTGGCTGTCTTCAGTGAACCAGCCTGGCCTTGCCTCCAACCTGCTAACCATGAGAATCCCTCTTCGGCAGCATCTCTGTTAGTGAATCACCACATATAAATTGCAATATTTAGTATAAACATATATTAAATCACTCCATTTGTTTGTCATGTTTAATATGAATGAGTCTGTATCCAAAATCACCAATGTATCCAATGTATACATTTAGTAAGTAAGATAAATGTATTTCATCACCAGACTATTTAACTTTGCCATCTTTAGCATCAAACGCTGACATCAAAACACCATGCTTCATCAACGAATTTCCGTTCGCCAGGTCTCTGAGTTCGCCGCGTCTCCGTGGTGTTGGGCAGGTCCACCTAAATGAAGTCGTGTTGATTTTTGCTGTGCCATCAATCATTGGATGACCCTCTGGTAATTTAACATAGCTATTGAAAATGACCATCTATAGTGGATTTTCCCATTAAAAATGGTGATTTTCCATAGTTACGTTAGTTTACCAGAGGGTAGTTTTTGTGGGATTTTTGACAGGAAAGCTCTATATGTGATGATCATCACCATGCTTTCCAGTAGATTATCCTTTCAACTAATCCGGAGCACGAAAGATTAGTTCTTTATGCTTATATCTAGGATAGACTGGATTTATAAACCACCAACCTACTGGTTTTTAATATCTAAGTATCCATATGGTATATTAAATTGATTCAATTCCCATTAACCAACATTCGATAAGGCTTATTCATGTCCTATCCGGTCATATTTTTTCTCCTGGGATGTAACTTACCCTGTAATCAAACATGGCTAGCTGGAAAATCGTCTGGGGAATGGTCTATGGCGCCATAGTTTTTGTTGGGTACACGAATAGTGATCCATGATGATCCATTGAACCCAAGAATGGTGATGAAAAACAGAGGAAAACTGGATGAAACCAGTTAGCACATCGAGATAGGAATGGGAACAAAATCAACTACCAATGCAACCTGGAAGATGATCTAGGTTTAATGAAGTAAGAAGCTGGGTAAGGCATTGATACCCAAAAAAAACGCCTCATCTTTGGCAGGGAATAGGTTTTTTGCGTTTATGACGAAATATATCATCGACCTGACCTGACCCTTCAAAGTTTACCAATGACAATGTCAACGGAACACATGGTCATGTCTAGCCTTCAATCATGTCATGTCTGTGGAGTTAATATCACAATGAATAGATGGTTCGTAGATACCCTCTGGTAAACTAACATAACTATGGAAAATCATAATTCTCAATGGGTAAAAATCAACTATTTCTATGGCTATGTTTGTTTACCAGAGGGTATGGAGCTTTCCTCAGGGTACCTCGAATCATCCATGTGAAAATAGATTGTCCATTGTAAACCAACAATTTTGGGGATCCCCATATGGAAACCCCTATATGGGTATGGGTCAAAATTAGGTACCCCAATAATTGAATGGTTAATACTAAACTATACTAACATCTGTGGTCCCCTAGGTCTTCCATTTTGACCCACATCCATATAACATAACACATGTGCTTTGGTGGTCGATAGAAACAGGGGATCCGAGTCGATATCTGAAACAATGGGGGGCGTAGGTCAAAAATTTGGACTGTTCAATTCTTGTCTTGTTCCCCCATTTTAAGGTACCCAAATTCGACTCACCAGATGGATAAATGATCAACACGTGGACATTTGAGATTTGAATCTGATATCCAAGTAATCCAAGTATATCTCGATCTCAAAATATATGTGCCATGGTCAAAACATGGTGCATTGGGTATGGTCGTTCATGCATGTTCATGCATGTTCATGCATGTTCATGCATGTTCATGCCATAATTAATGGGAATCCTTACCCATCCTTTTCAATATATTCGGGATTGCTGACCAATCCCCAAATTAATGGGTTGATCTAATCCAACTCTTTATTTCCATGGCAAACATACTTGGAGAGATCTGGGGAGCTCTTGGCCCCTCCTTCCAATGTTCCCTCAGCCACACCGCAACAAGGAACTGTGATCAAGATGACTTTCTCTGCAGGAACAGCTTCGAGCACAACTTGAAGAACCTGTCCCGGTGCTGCGAAGGGGGAAACTGCAACATGCATGGCCAATCCTGGACACTGTGCAAGGTGGTGCCCGCAAGATATCTAAGTTGGTTTATAACTCCAATAACTGTGGTTTATAGGTGATAGTCAATGAGCTTATACTTACAACATCTTACAACCAATTTATAACTGGGGGGGCACCACCTTGTGCCAAAAAAAATGTAGCTGCTTAGATGAAAGTATTCAACTACCCATCCAAGGCAAACCCAAAGGTAGCGGGATCACTTGCGACCCTATTCACGTGGGGATTTCATGTGTGCATTCCTCTGGCGTAGCATCCAATCTCTGCGTAACTTGAACGTTATTGGCCCACCCCACCCCACATGCATTGGGTATGCTTTAATCAGGGATGGCACCAAATACATTTGCAAAAACTGGCCAACGTGGGTGGTCCGCGAACGCCCGTGCCACCAAAAACAACGCCAAAAAAAACGGTTCTGACCAATCAAGGCAGCTCGTTCAGAGAAAGTGATGCCATAATTTTGTCAGAGAAGGTGCTGTTACCAATACCACATAAAATCGGACAACTAAATGATATAATTTTGGCGGGAAGGAGCCAGAAAGGTTATATTGGCAAAACCTAACTTGTTGGAATCAAACGGTGGTTGAGGTACCAGAAAAATACGAGTATATAAATAAATTCAGGGTCATTCGCCAGAATTTAGTTGTTGCAATGTCCTATCCCAATATTGTACCAAACACATGTAATTTCTGAATATTTCTCATAGCAAACCCAGCGACGCCAAGCTCATTTTTTGGAGGTAAATCATGGCAAATCATGGTAAATCCATATTAATGAGAGATATTTCCATATAATCCATGGTAAATCATGGTAAATCCATTCAATCATGGTAATTAATCCATGGTAAATCATGGTAAATCCATATAGTGAGTTCTTCATGGAAATCTTGTGGATGCCACATCGCACCTCCCAAGGCCTAAAAAATGTTTCGGGGTTACCCTACCTATCAATCCGCCTCCTGCGGTGACAGCTGTGAGCTGAAAGCGCCGTCCAAAATGAACCTGGGCAACAAAAAAGTCGGTGCGAAAATGGGATACGAAAATGGGATATGGAGGGTTCTATAAATGGAGCTTCCTCAAAATGGATGGTCGAAAAAATGGAAAGTAGAAAAAATGGATGATGAACAGGGGTACCCCCATGACTATGGAAACCTCTATATTGATGGGAGATGTCATGGGATTAAATGTATACCCTCTGGTAAACTAACATAACTATGGAAAATCACCATGTTTAATGGGTATATCAACTATAAATGGCCATGTTCAATAGCTATGTTAGAGAGGGTAAATGGGATTTCATCAAAATTGCGTCTCCGCTAAAAATACCAAGGCTGTTGGCATTCTTGGAAACACAGCTGGCTAAAAAAATGTCTGTCTGGAAAGAACCCACTGACCTGCCCAATTCACCCCCAAATCCAATGGATTATCAAAACTGCCAGCTTAATGCTGTGAAATGGTATAATTACATATACCCTCTGGTAAATTAACATAGACCCTGGCAGATAGGGGTTGGAAGACTAGTTTCCATTAAAAATTTGTGATTTTCAGGGTCTATGTTTATTTACCAGAGGGTACATACCCCATCTTCTAGCTATGTTTGATTGTTAAAAATGCTAGTAGCCAGGTTTACAACACGATGGGGATGATTCAGGTGCATTTTTAGAGTGGCTTACTCTCCGGTAATCAAACTTGCGTGCTGGAAAATCCACCATTTATTTCATGGATTTTCCAACTTCCGATGCTTGATGACACTGGAGGATATATCTCAGAAAAATCCAACTAAATCCCATACCCTCTGGTAATTTAACGTAGCTATTGAAAATGGCCCATAGAAATAGTTGATTTACCGAACTTAAAAATGGTGGATCTTTCCATAGTTATGTAAACGTTTACCAGAGGGCAATCATCCCATAAATTCCAATATTATCCCATGAAATCCCATGAAATCCCGCAGACCCCATTCACATCCCACTGAAACTCACCATTAAATGATATAAATCTCCCATTTACTTCGAATAACCCATGAATTTCCCATAATGATAAAAATAATTTGCATTTCTTCACATGAACCATTTTTGACAATTATGAACTATGAACCACTACTTAAGCTTTAAGTAGTAAGAATGGCCCATTAATATCCCATCATGGATCAATAATAATCAGATATTATCCCATGAAAAGTAATATTCTGATCACATTATCCCACTAAATCCCATTAATCTGGGTAAATTATAATATTGCACTCACCTGAATCTTGCGGCCACCAACTTCTCTGCTGTCCTCCAGGCCACTTGCAAAATACACCTGTGTTAAGTGACCTGATTTTCAGGGCCATTTGGCTATGATTCCCTATAAAAACCATGATTTCCAGTGAGGGAGAACAGTGAGGTCGTTATAATTATCATAATTCGCCCAGTTTTTCATATCCCATCATGGATAAAGATCGGCGTTTCGACTCCCATGATTTTTCAAGACATCTGCAGCGAGACCCAGTGTTGCAATCAGGAAGTTCGACACGTCGCTTGAAGACATGGGCTGCCTGGCAGCCGCAGTGCGATCCCTCAATGGGATTTGAGATATCAATGGGATGATTCTGGGATTTTCATGGGATTATTTCTTGGGAAATCATGGTATGGGATGAGATCTTATTGATATTACTGTAACGGGGTTATAATGGGATTATATATATATAAAGGGATGATGGGATGATAATGGGATGATCATGGGATATGTCGGATATGAGATGATTATGGAATACAGCAACCCCAAACCATAGATGCCGGAAAGTCAACAAAAACAAAACTGGAAAGAGGCAACTATCGTCGAACTACCATCCTGCTTTCACACTGTTCGGCATCTTCTGGGGTGTTGATACGTATGTGATCTATTTATTTATTTATATATATATATGTACATATGTATATGTATATATGGGCTCGTTTAAATGGGTCAGGATACCCTATAATTGTTTTTCGAGGGAAAACAACAACAAACCATGGGTGATATGGTCGGGGTTCGAGAATGTTCGAGACAACGCCGTTTGGTCGAATGTTTTAGATTGTTTAATAGCAACCCAAAATGAACGATACCCTCTGGTTATGACTAACAGTTCGCCATGGAAAGATCCACCATTTTTAATAGGTAAACCATCTATTTCTATGGGCCATTTTCCATGGCTATGTTAAATAACCAGAGGGTACATTTAAAAAAAGATAGTTGGGACAAGTGGTAAACATTCCATCCAGGAATCCATCTACCCATCTAGCTGGGGATCTTAGATGGGCCCCTGCCAAAAATCTAAATGAATATAGCCTGGTAACCGATCACCATGGATGATGTGGTTGAGCTGGAAAGGGTATCTTGGACTTAAGATTACTACATGGCAGTGTGTCAAAACCTTGTACCCCTTTTGTTCACATCAAAATAGCTGGGATTTATGGATGTTCATCCCACTAAAAATGGTATTAATAGGTATTGATCCATACCCACATACAGCAAACCCAGTTTTTGAACAACTTGTTACTTACTACTTGAGGGTGCATCGCAGTTTGTGAATGGACATCTACCCTGTATCCCCAGGTTGCTAGTGGACCTGGTCCAATTCCTTGGAATATCAATATATATATATACACAGCTTTTCAAAACATAGCATCTCTCAGCCTCTCGTAGCCTTTTTGATGACAACCAGAATCACAAAAATGCAACCCATGTTTGATCACTAGTCTTTGCTGGTCGAAGTCACAGTGTTCTGAATCATACCATCTGGTTATTTAGCATAGCCATGGAAAATCCTCATAAATGGAGGTTTTAATGGGAAAATCATCAAGAAATGGGCCATATACCATGGCTATGTTAGTCATAATCAGATGGTACAAAAAGCATGTAAACTAATCCTCCTGTAAGCCACACATAGATGTGGAAGTCCCACCATAAAGTAGATCATGTTCCGAACGCTGAAACCCCATGGGAAGCGACAACACATACCTATGTTTGCCCTGTTGGGTAACTACTTGGATTTGCTTCAGAAAGACATCGACTCCCAACAAAAAACTCGTCCCACATCGTCCCACTTTAGATTCCCTCAGTATTATGTCCCATATCCCATGACGGATCCATGGTGCTGGTATATTAATGCTAACATGACTGGGGTATATTGATGGGATCCATGGCACACCATATATGGCAGCACCATGGATTACATGGATCCGTCATGGGTATTGGGAAAATGACAACAAATCACTGATCTTTCAACGAAACCATGAACAAAAATCATGGAAAATCCACCATTGAAACTTCCGCCTCCGAGACCGTGAGTGAACGACCACCTCCAAGCGTTGCGGACGGGAGGAAGTCGTCACCAACCGTGGGGAAGTCACGGTGTTGAGATGGAACCGTCGCATAGGAAAAACCGAAAAGGACAAATCACAAATCCATAGGACATGGATCAATTGGCATCCTGATCTACCGTGGTTTTCCGAATTTTACCCTCTGGTAATTTAACATAGCTATTGAAAATGGTCATAGAAATAGTGAGTTTTCCCATTCATAGCATGGTGATTTCCAATAGTTACGTAAACGTTTACCAGGCCGGGTATATGTTTGATCTTGTTCGTTGGAACATCATGGAACATCATGCTGAACATCGACGTTCCGTTCTGGGGTCCAAGGGGACCAAGGTTATGGCAGCCATGGATTTCAAGTTATTTTCGCTGTCATGGGTCAGAGTCAAAACCCTGGTACCCGGTACCCTATATGGTAATTAATATACCATCCCTATAATTATGGAATAATGGTATCAATATTCCCATATTGATCCCTATAATTAATATACCATCCCATTATAATATTTATTTATATGGTATAATTCTCTCAAATATGGGAATAATTAATTGGTTTTGATCCCCATTTATCACCCAAGTCAAAGATGTGTGTCTCTTGGATCTTAAAAACACTAGGGGCGGTCACGTCACAGTGCACTTGTTTTTTTGCATCTTTGCCTTGTTTCCGTCCTCGTTTAACAAGGGATGGAAGCGGAAAAATGCAAACCCACTAGGCGCTTGTTCTAACAGCTATATGCCACCATTTCCTGCCACAATTTAACAATCCCGTCACAAATCCAAGAGTTTTCTCCCCTCTATGTCCTACCATCATATACCCTTCATAAGTATCATCACATATTCTTTTTACATGTGGGTAAAACATGGTAAGACAATTTCATACACCATCCCCCAAATCATCATTTTTATAGGTGGTATAAACCCTTCCAAAAAGGGTGGTTTATGACATTGTTTTACCCACATTAGTGACGAAATCATGGGACAATTGGGACAATTCCTCCATATAAATAGTGTATTTTCCTATATGTTCCCATGATTTCCCAGATTCATGGCATTGTTTTGCTGGTTGGTGGTATACCTACCCCTCTGAAAAATATGAGTTCGTCAGTTGGGATGATGAAATTCCCAATTATATAATATGGACAGTCATTCAAAATTCCATGGTTCCAGTCACCACCAACCAGTTTGCCATGTTTTACCCACATTATACCCTCTCGTAAACTAACATAACTATGGAAAATCACCAATTTTAATGGGAAAATCAACTGTAAATGACCATTTTCAATAGCTTTTTGTATGTTTACCCACATTATATGCTTGTTTTTTTCCCACGGGAAAATTCCTCCGATCTTCACCCCAAAACCGACGGACTGAACGAACCAACGAACCGCCTTCCAGACGGCGTTGGATGGAGCGGGCGGTCCAATCGTCGTGCAAGAAGTCCGGGCCCTGGTGAGCCAAATAATGGTGAAATAATGGTTAAATGGTGAAATAATAGTGAAATGGTAGTGAAATAATAGTGAAATGGTGTTAATGGTGGTGAAATAATGGTGAAATGGTGATTAATCCCTTCCCCCGTTCATGTTGAAATACCAGAAACTGAAACCATCTGGTTTACTAAGGGAATTATAATCTTTACATAGATTTACATCAATTTGGGACCATAGAATGGGGGTGTTGAATATGAAAAAGGGATCACTATCGAAGGGAAATCTGAAGTGGCAACCGCAGTTCATGCGGTATTGTTGGGGGTATCCTGAGATGGGCGTGTCTGAAAATAAGGGAATATCATAGAATATCCCCAATTATAGCCATTTAATGACCATAACCATTGGGATATTCATGGATATTCATGGATATTCATGGATATTCATGGATATTCCCCTATTGACCTATGAATATTCCATTTAATAGGGAACATGTTCATTAATCTTAACCATTGGGTTTAGGGCTACTTCAGACAAACCCAGATTTACAACAAACAATTTATCCAGCAAGACGACGATGTTCACTAACGCATGGAGATAGACTTTGATCATATAGCAACCATTGGACAAAGTGAACATTCAAATATGGCATATGGGTGTGTCTGAAAATTGGGTTATACCTTAAGTTATATTGTTTTACATCCCACTTAATGTTCCCATTATATTATGTGCCCATTATGACAAGTCCCTCTTAATATGTTCTTTACCTTTATATCCTCATGAGTTTCTTATGACCTGGATCATAAACATGGCTGATCCCATGATATTCCGGATAAATCAGCCCAATGGCCGATGGGAGCCCCAACCCGAAGATGGGAAGGTTCAGGTCCCTAGCAGGTGCAAACTAACTATTTCGGACTTATGGTAGATCTATCGAACGAGTTCATGGGCTTACAAACCAACTAACTATAGCTGCAAAACACCAGCCTGTACTTGGTGGCTCATCCCTCACTTGATTTCAGTAGCTTATAACCCTAGTTATAAGCCTAATCTAGCGGAGTAACCCTACACTAGTCCCAGTTATAACCAGGTTGTTTAATGATTTGTTTACCTACAAGGTGGTGCCCCCAGTTATAAATTGGTTATAAACCCATTAACTCTAGATATATCACCTATAAGAACCACAGTGAAATTGGAGTTATGAACCACCAACTGAACGCAGGACTCTCCAGGGAGTCTCCACCTGCTTCAACCACTGGATGACATCGTCCATGGTCAGAATTGCACGCTGATCCTGTGGACGACGGACCGCTTTGTGGCTGGGTCATAAAGGTCGTAAAGGTCTTCAAGAACACGAAAAACCTCCATGGTTTTTATTTTCTTAAGTGTAACATGTTTCAAGAATGGTCAAACCGCTAAACCATGAAAACAATCGAATCTCATTTCCGCCAGCAGCTCCAATCAGCCATCCATCAATCCGCTAGTCAATCTCCCAAGTTTGCTGGTTGAACTTACCATCTGCTTGGTGGTTTCAACCCAACCCCTCCGAAAAATGTGAGTCAGTTGGGATCATGACATTCCCAATGGAAAGTCATAATCCATTCCATGGTTCCAGTCACCACCAACCAGATATAGTGTTATTCCAATTATTCACCATTATTAACCATAGATTAACCATAGATTAACCAGGAAAATTCCATGGTTCCAGTCACCACCAACCAGCTATGATTCACCCTATGATTTTGATGGTCAATCGCCCATGGATTTCGCCCATGACGACCTGTGCGTCAAAAACGTGGCACCTCTTTGGCCATCTGTCGCGCCAAGGACGACATGCCCGACCTAAGGTGATGTGAGCATTGGAAGTCAACCCAACTTATATAATAGCTATATTATATATATATATATATAGTTATATATATATATATATATGGGTTTCCTGAAATGGGGGGTACCCCCAAATCATCTATTTTTTGTTGGGATTCTCCAGCAAATAGGCCAATGGCCTAGGGCCATCCATTTTGGGGTACCCCAATTATGGAAAACCCTCAGATATGTATCCCATTGTCATTGTATCCCCATAATCATCATGAATCAACAGAGCTGTAGCAGCCACTCAGCAGTCCCGGGTTGGCGCACTTTGGAGGTCCCACCAACACTGCATTGACCTCGAACTGAACAAGGCAAAAAACGACGCGGGGGGCAAGGAATCTGCGGTTGAACTCCGTTCTTTTCACTACCCTCAGATATACCATCTGGAACATGATCTACTTTATGGTGGGACTTCCACATCTATGTTGGCTTACAGGAGGGTTAGTTTACATGCTTTTTGTACCATCTGGTTATTTGTGACATAGCCATGGTATAGATGGCCCATAGAAATAGAATGAAATAGATGATTTTCCCAGCTAGAAACCTCCATTTATTTACGGGATTTTCCATGGCTATGTTAAATAACCAGATGGTAACGGGAATATGGGGGGAATATGCTACGAATATCATCTGGTTGGTGGTTTCAACCAACCCCTCTGAAAAATAATGGAGTCAATTGGGATCATGACATTCCCAATGGGGAAATAAAATTCATGTTCCAAACCACCAACCAGTCATCATTTACAATGGGATATGATATACATCTATACCCTCTGGTAATCTCACAGTTTGCGAAGCGGTAAATCAACAGTTCTAAAACACTATGCTAAAACGGTGAACTACTATATATTAAGAAAACACGTTGCATATCATTCCATAGCTATGTTTGAAACCGGTATACATAGTTGTTCGTATTTGATGACTGGAACATTTGTGCACATCAGTATGTTTTTCAATCTGCAGGGAGTGCCTGCTTGAGTGGCGATCACTTTTCCCTACATATCTGAAAAATTAACATACCCCATATGCTCCATGTATGGTATATTTACCTACATGACTGGGTCATGTTTGGGGTAAATGTTGGGATTCATATTCCAGCGCACTATGGTTCACATATGGGTACCATAACCCCCCGGATACCCTCTGGTAATTTAACAGTTTGCTATTGAAAATGGCCATTAATAGTGAGTTATCCCATTAAAAATTGTGATTTTCAATGGGTAAATCCACTATAAATGGCCATTTTCAATAGCTATGTTAGTTTACCAGAGGGTACCATAACCCCCCCGGGTTTAAACAGATCCGATACATTCGAAACCAGGGGCGGCTGCCAGCGATTCGAAGCTTCCATTGGGATTCCACCATGGTTTTTTTAAACTTCAACGGCTTGCGTTGCAGCTTTTGTTTAAAAAAACGTAGCAAAAGCAAGCATAATTATGGATAAATCATAAAGGTAGATCCATTCATTATGGCTATTCAATATTATTCAATGTTATTCAATGTGATTTCTGAATTATGACATTAACTGGTTGGTGGTGCAATGTGCCCATCCTGAAAAATATGAAAGTCAAATGGGATGATGACATCCCCAATTAATATGGAAAAATAAAATGTTCCAAGCCACCAATCTCAAAAAAAAAAACAATCTTGACAATCCAATGAACCAGAATCTATACCTAAGAATTCTTGGGCCTCATATCAATGATCTTAGTTTCTGTCATACACCACCGTTTCCTCGGACCCTGACACGTTCGCCATCCTTCACGCGGTACGGATAGAGGGAGGAATCCATCTCCTGAAGGGGATGAATTCATGTCAGTGTGGGCGTTTGTATTGCATGGTTCGGCAAAAAGTCATTACCCTCTGGTAACCTAACATAACTATGGAAAATCACAATTTTCAATGGGAAAATCCACTATAAATGGTAATGTTCAATAGCTATGTTAAATTACCAGAGGGTAATTATCAACCTGTCTGAATTCCTCAAGATGTCGATTCATTTTTGCCCATGAAATTTGTGGGTTCCATATGCCGAAGCAAACACATGGACGAATACTTCCCACAGCAATTCAACATTCAGTTAATTTAATGGTTCCCAACCCCATAGGATCCATGGTGCTGGTATATATGCTAACATTTGGGGTATATTGATGGTAAATGTCACCCTATATGGCATACATGGGTCCTATGGGAACATCATCATGCTATCGTGTAGTTGGGAAACTCTTGAAGAGCATGGATAACCATAGCTCCAAACAGCTCCAAATCGCACCAGATTGACAAGTTACAGCAGTATTAACCAGTATTTCATGTAATATATCCCCCTACATCTTTACTGAACCAAAAATTAGTTTGATAGATAACATCCCAATTTCCGAGAGTTGTAAATCACTATGTGCAATGATTGTCATCTACCCTCCAGTAACATAGCTATGGAAAATCATAATTCGTAACAGGTGGATCCATGAAAATAATCGAACTAACCGGCCATGTTCCATAGCTATGTTAGTCTATCAAAGAGTATGTGTCATTGTTTTCATACGTTTCCATTGTTTTCCCATGTGTTCCTTTGTGTTTGCATGTTTTCTAATGTTTTCCAATCTTCACTAAACCAAAGGGTGTGTTCGAAAAAAGGGCTACCCCCTCCAAATGGCAATTTCATTTGGAAAATGATGATAAATCTGGCTGGAATTTAGGGTTCAAACCCAAAACAGCCCCAAAAACTCTTCCCAACCCAGGTAAATCCCATTCACCATCTTTCGCATCATCCTGTGATGTACCTTCTGGTAAACGTTTACATAACTATGGAAAATCACCATGCTATTAATGGGTAAATCGGTAAATCCACTATTTCTATGGTCATTTTCAACAGCAAACTGTTAAATTACCAGAGGGTATTTCCTATTAATTAATACCCCCATTTGGGTTGGTGAATTCCCTTTAAAGTCACCATGAAATCACCATGAATAATCAGCATTATTGTTGGTTAACCCCCATGATAATCCCCATTACCCTCTAGTAAACTAACATAGCTATGGAAAATCACCATTTTTAATGGGAAAACTCACTATAAATGGCCATTTTCAATAGCAAACTGTTAAATTACCAGAGGGTACCAGAGGGTAACTCTCCCCTTGCTACACATCGGCACTTCTTCCGCGTCGCGTCCGCGTCGCGCCTGCCGTTCGGGCCGTTCCACAATGGCCTGCAACGCCGCCAGCTCCTCGTCGGCACCTGAGAATTCGTTGCGTCGTCAGTACATAACTGGTTGGTGGTTGACACTAGCCTCAGATACAATGGAAATATGCTGGGAATATGCTAGGAATATCATCTGCTTGGTAGTTGACCTACCTCTGAAAAATGATGGAGTGAAAGTCAGTTGGGATGATGAAATTCCATGAAATTCCCAGTATATGGAAAGTCACAAAAAGTCATGTTCCCAATAAGATATCTGGTTGATGGTTTTAACCATCTTGGAAAAAAAAATAGTCAGTTGGGAAGGATTGTCCCATAATCAATTCAATGGATTGGTTGAGAAAACCTACAGGAAACTATCGTTTTTGTTCCATTTTTTGGTGGCTTAAACCAGTAAATGTTCCCTTAACCAAGCCATTGAATTAAACGTTTTAGAATCTAGAACCACTGTTAGGTAATGTAACATAACAAAACTTCCAAGGATAGTAACACAATCGTGGTTAAAGAAATAATCGTTATAGTTATAGTAGTAAATAATGTAAAATAATAGTATACATTCAAAAAATAATGTTTAATAAAACAATGGTTCTCATATGTTATCTAATAGTGGTTTATATAATTATATATATATGTATTATGTTATGTTATATATGTTAAGAACAAAATAGCTACTATCTTTTCGTGATTACATGTATAAAAGTAGTTACACTGGTGGCTATGATAGGTTTATATAATCATACAACAGAAGTATGAAAGTAGCATAAAGAAAACATACAATTCAATCTTTTGAGGGGTTCTGCGGGGTATATTCGAGAAATCATGGGTCATGTGATATTTCCAGCTGTATCATTGGATGTAATCCCATTCCATTGCCTGATCATATCAATTGGATACCTAAATATGGCTGAATAGTCCCATCAAAATGAATAATAGCTATGGTTATTTAACAGTTCGCCATGGAAAATCACCATGCTATTAATAGGTAAACCATCTATTTCTATGGGCCATGGCTCTACCATGGCAAACTGTTAGTCATAACCAGGTTGGGTAATAACTGACAAAAGTCGCAAATTTTTATTGGGTCCCGGATGGTGGTAGGCAACTCCACAGATCGCATCAACCAAAAAACCAACCTGTTTCCATGGAAGCTAAATAAATTTAAACTAACAATGTGAAGGAATTCGATCCAATCATAGCCTACCGTTATAAAGGGAGACCCCAAAAACATGAAATCTATGACTATCTATGTAATGCTGAAACAGGGTTTGTGCGCAGTGTTTATTGCGAGGGAATTTTCTGGGTCCATGTTCAATCTCAAACCTAAGATTTGCGGGGTTCGTTGATACCCTAATTCAATTCAATTCATGTCAACTCCATAAATCACCAAAGTTTTTGTTGGTGAAACACTGGTACTCATGGTTGAACTCATGACAATGTTAAATCTAGAGAATGGCCCATAGCTGCTGCTAATTACCCTGTAAATACCCATTTCGGGGTTTCCCAAAATGGGGGTACCACTATATCATCCATTTATACATGTATTTTCCATTATAAACCATCCATTTTGGGATACCTCCATGACAACCCCATTAATATCTATCAATGTATTCCATGGACATTAGTGACTGTTATAAGTTTATATTAATGGGAAGTATTATGGAAATACACTGACATATATTAATGAAGTATCATGAGAATATATCAAGGATCTATGAATGGATATTAATGGATATTACCGTGGTAAAACGTGGAGACCCCCATTTCAAGATTTACGCAGAAGAAACAGTAAACTGCTGAGCTCCCCCCACGCGCTTGCAGTGCTGCTTCCTGGCACCGGGGCCGTCTTTTTGGGGTATAAAAAATGGTATCACCATATACGGTGATATACATATTATGAAAAAAAAATCCAAGGGACATGAAAATATCAGAACAGTTTTTGTTTAAAGATACGTCATATAACACTATTTCATGCTTAGGGATAGTATTATACTTATTGTTTTTAATATATATATATATAATTTAATGGATTGTCTGATGTTTATATCCCAATTTTAATACTCCTGTATTCCCATAAATATGATGCTTGCAAAAAAAAATACGGATAAACCATCCGGTGATCAAACATGGCAATGGACAATTCTCCATTCATAGATGATTCTGCATGGTGGACCCAATCTGGAGGCGGGTTGGGCAGCACAGGCACTGATCAGTTGAGGGTGACATTTGTGCAGCCTATAGGTCTTATTCAATGTATGATAGGTAGGATGATATTGAATGTATGATTTGTAGAATGATCTTGAATGTATCATTTGTAGAATGATATTATGTATATATATATATATGTAGAATGATATAAAATGTATGATATGTAGAATTAATTTGAATGTATGAAATGTAGAAGGATCTTGGATGTATGATATGTAGAATATATCAAATGTATGATATGTAGAATGAATTTGAATGTATGATATGTAGAATGACCTTGAATGTATGATATGTAGAATGTTCTTGAATTCATGATTTGTAGAATGATCTTATATGCATAATATCTAGAATGATATCAAGTGTATTATATGTAGAATGACATCAAATGTATGATATGTAGAATGATCCTGAATGTATGATATGTAGAATGACATTGAATGTATGATATGTAGAATGATCTTAAATGTATGTTTTGTAGAATGATCTTATATGTATAATATGTAGAATGATATGAAATGTATGATATGTAGAATGAATTTGAATCTATAATATGTAGAATGATCTTGAATGTATGATATGTAGACTGATATTGAATGTATGATATGTTATGATATGTATCTATGATATGTTGTGATATGTATCTATGATAGTATTGATATGTGTCTATATATGATATGTATCATGGGGATATATTAATTATCCGGCAAGTCGCCGCTAAGTCAATGCCTATACACAAATGATCAATAGAACCAGGAGAACAGTGGACTTGCGAATCCACTATGCACATCCACTGAACCTCTTCAAACAAAATCATCCAACTTCATGAATGAATCACAATGAATCACACCATCTTCATCTCCATGATGTTTTCCTTCTCATGTTATATTTGGGTGAAACCAATATCCATCACTGCTATTGTGAACTACAGGGGCCACGACAACCCGACAAACGCGGCACCTTTTCCACCTCTGCGGGATCACGGTCCTGCAATCAGCAGATTGAAAACCTACTGCAGATATGGAGCTTACCTAAAAAATGGGGGATCCGAAAAACCGATTGGTTTTGATACAACTGGGGGTACCCCCATGACTTAGGAAACCTCAATATACTTTCATAAGATCTACCTAGACCCTCCGTTTGTACTCAACATTGGTACTGTTCCCCATAATTACTACGTATGTACTTGAAACCAGCAAATACCAGCAAGCAGGGGTAGCTTGCCAACAATTGGAGGCACCAATGAACAAATGTTGTAGTATATTACTTCAATCTTGATCTTGGTGCTTTGAGGAAACTACTTTGGGACTCAGCACTCTTACTGCGACGAATTGACAAAATCAGGGACCCACAAAAAGCCAGTAATAATCCTATCGGATTCGTCCCCATTCTTCGTAGCTTATCCCGTGCATACGAATGGCTTTTTATCCCAGCAAAAATCACCATGTTTTCTTGCTTAGATTCAATCAAATCATATTACCCTCTGGTTATTCAACATATCAGAGGTTTGTACGCAAATCCCCGTAACTTCTCAATGGTACGTGCCCATCTTAGATGGTCACTTGTCCTGAGATAGTCTGCAAATGAGCGAGAACCCTCATCCAGCCCTTCGAACATAGCCATGGAAAATCACCATTTTTAATAGGTAAACCTCTATTTCTATGGGCCATCTATACCATGGCAAACTGTTAGTCATAACCAGAGGGTAAATCCCCAGGTTGGGATGCTCAAGCTAAAGACTCGTCAAAGAATGACGACTCTGAATGAACATCATCAAGAAAACTCCCAGTTGTTTATTCTGGTTGGTTGTTTATAATAGTGGTTATAATACCAATAATAATGGTTATATATGGGTTATATGATGGGATAAATGATCATCTGGTTGGTGGTTAAAAAAACATGGTTTAGTAGGGAATTTCCACATTTTTTTGGGACCATAAATTGAGGTGTTTTTCATGTGTATTCAACGGTTGGTGGTTTAACAACAAAAAACATCTTGAAAAATATTGGATTAAACATCCAAAATGGTTTATAAACATCCCCACATGGTTTTTTTATTCCAGAAAAAACGTCTGTTGGTTGAAAAATGATGGACTGAAAGTCAATGGCTTTCGGATGACATCCCATCCCCCATCTACGATGGAACTCTTCGGACCTGTGCGTCTCTACCGTGAAACCTGGTCACGGTGGTTGAAAAAACCATCTTGAAAAATGATGGAGTTCGTCAGTTGGGATTATGACATTCCCATATATATATAATTATATATATATATTATGGAAAATAACAAAAATGTTTGAAACCACCAACCAGTATTGGTTGCTTGTAACACTAACACCACTTCCTCACCAGTTACGACCAACGGCACGGGCGTTGAAATTCCCACCTCGGGCACGGGCTGAGTGACATCGCCGGCCTGCTTGCAATGTTGGCAGTTGGTGGTGAAAAAGATGATCCAGTGATATCAATGGCCATTTCAGGATCCTAAATTGGAGGTACCTACCATATATAAGGCCTATTTTTCAGGCCTAAATTTCAGGGAATATCCCCACAATATATGGCCTTATTTGGTACAGTACCTCCATTTTAGGATCCTGAAATTCCCATTGATGATAGGTAACATTGGTGATCTATATTAACTGGTTGGTGGTTGACCTACCCCTCTGAAAAATATGAGTTCGTCAGTTGGGATGATGAAATTCCCAATATAATAAAATTCATGTTCCAAACCACCAACCAGATAAATATCCTATTTATACTATTGAATTGAATCCCAAATCCTTACTGTTCAATATTTCTTCATGTTTGTTCAATGTTGATTTGGTTTCACGGTGAAACAGATTAAAAAAACAAATAGGATTTAATCAATGGGAATTCCAGGATCCTAAAATGGAGGTACTGTACCAAATAAGGCCATATATTGTGGGGATATTCCCTGAAATTTAGGCCTGAAAAATAGGCCTTATATATGGTAGGTACCTCCAATTTAGGTTCCTGAAATGGCCATTGATTTAAGTGTGTATGTCATCTTCCAAAACAAGGTAATTTGATTTGAGCTTCTAAGATGGGTTTTAAGCGTGAAACAATGGGGGATTTATATAACGAGTGAATAGTGACGTGCCTCGTGGACCTGGCCTTTTTTAATGAGGTATACCCAACATTGCCACTCTGATTGGGAAAGTGCTGATACATTCTGGGATTTTGGGTTTTTTTCCGCACCAATTGGTCAATAGCTAACAAAAAATAATCCCATTCCATCGCAATATGGTGGTTTTAAGTGAAGTTTTGCAGCTACCCCTACGGCTAAATAGGGTTGAACCGTCTACCAATCACAGTCATGCCGCACCCATGCCCTTTGACGACATAGTAAAGAATGTTGACCAAGACCAAGGAAAAAATCCAACCAATGTTTTCTGACCGACTCATCTCTGATCCAGCTGCAGCTCTTCACTTGGTAACCGAAACCTAATTGGGGTGTCGCTGCCCTTGGCCATTGGGCTGTTGCTGCCCTTGTATCCATTACCCAGGGTTTTTGGAGATGTTTTGGGTTGAGAGCGAGCAAGAATTATAACTTCTATAACCCAAAAAAAACAGAATAGTTCTAGAAACAAACCCGGTTTTGATGTGTCTTTCTGATGTTTTCAACCATCCAAAAGCGCGGTAAAAAGTGGCTGCAATATGATCCATCGAGATCCCCCCTGGCCACAGCCCACCTCTGCCGCTTCCTTGGCTTGCTGTGCCTGTCAAAATGCCAGGTTTACCACGAAAAATATAGGAAGCCCGTGATGAAACAGGTAAAACCTCAAGAGTTTCCCTTCAGTTCTTGGATGACAGTAGTTTGGGTCTTCAGTGGACCTCCAAGTTTGAGGTGATGTCATCAAACATACTTTCAATATGGCAGGGGTGTACAATTGAAATGGAACCCAGAACATCCTATAGAACACTAGAACACACTATGTTCTGGGCGCCTTCCCTGCTGCAGAAACAGCCATCACCCTGCCACTGTCGCAAAATCAACTCTAAAGTCATCAAATGTCCAAGTCAAAACTATGTCACAACTCAGCAATCTGAAATGCCGTCATTTTACTTGAATAACTCAGTATCCCCATTTAGATCCATAAAATGTGCATTGTTTCTTGAACTAAAACCTCCATTTTCTTCGGGGATTTTCGAGCCATGGCAGCCATGGCTATGATGACACAGGAGGGTATAATCATAAAAGGATTATCAGGATGATTCCCTACTCATAATTCCATAATCATCCTGATCATTTTATAATCATCAATTTCACATTTACCCTCTGGTAAACTAACATAGCTATTGAAAATTGCCATTTATAGTGGATTTTCCAATTAAAAATGGTGATTTTCCATAGCTATGTTAAATTACCAGAGGGTATTCCCTAATCATCCTGATATCCCACAACCACCCCCACAAAAAACCCATCACCGTTCCATGAAATCCATTGAAATCCCATGAAATCGGATAGTGGGTAATGTCAACGTAGGATTAATAACCCCCCCACAAGGTCAGATATACCTTGTAAGGTCTTTCCTAGTTTTTCCCTAAATAAACGGCCCCTGAAGCATAAAATTTTGGATATGGTTTGGAATTAACTGAAATGATTCCCGCTAATCATATCCTATGGAAAATCCCCAATGAGTCATAATAAAGTCCATCCGAAGTCTATAACTCAGACTAATATCATATAAACTCCATCTGCCCAGTGGGTAATATCCCATTCAACTGGGTACCGGCCTGGTAAACCAACAAAAAGCTATTGAAAATGGCCATAGAAATAGTGGATTTATCCATTAAAAATGGTGGATCTTTCCATAGTTTTTTGTATGTTTACCAGAGGGTAAACCTCCATTTTCCCATGGTTTTCCTATGGTTTTCCCATTAAAACCTCCATTTTCCTATGGTAAATGATCATATGTCACTAGCCTGGAGAGTTAGGCTATCTTGGGACCGGCCGATTCCAGGCTTCGGGAGAACAGGCTTCGGTCGTTTTTGTTTGGCCCAGTGAGGTCGTGATTTTCCATAGCAAAACACTAAAAAGGACAAAATCCACTGGATGATCATCATTTTCAACACATTTTTTCTATGAAAAAAAGATTGCCAATCTGCCAGATACCCTGCAAAAAAATAAATTCTTTGCTGGTGAACGTAGATATTCCCATTAATACCAAAAGACTAGTTAGGATTAAAGTATCCATGTAAGATTGACCTAGAGCAAAACACCAAAAAGGACAAAACTACCCATCCAATGCTGGCTATGTATCCCATTCAATGGGAGTTTCCTAAGTCATTCGGGGGGTACCCCTTGACATCATCCGGCCGATGACTAGTACATTTTAGTATAGGTTAACCCATGGTGACCTGGGAATCCCCCATTTTAGGAAACCCTACATAGTCATTATGAACAATTATGATTAGTGTTCACCTTTTATCGAGCCACGAAATAAACAATAATTCACCAGTATTCCGTATTCACCATTACTCACCACCATTATATCACCATTGTATATCGTTGGTTTGTATATATATATATATATTATGTACCCAGTAATTGATGATTATATACCAATAATAATATACATGTATATATATATGTACATTAAGATATCCCATGATGTACCATTAAATGTTAGGTCAAAATAGGGTACCCCATTCTAATTGTATGGTGAACATACTGAAACATAGACATTAAAAATCTGCGGTCCCCTACTATGCTTACATTCCCAAGTAGGGTTATCCACTTAGTGGGATATGATATACCCTCTGGCTATCCACTTAGTGGATATAGTAAATATACCCTCTGGCTATTTAACATAGCCATGGGAAATGGCCCATTTATAGATGGTTTACCTATTAAAAATTGTGATTTTCCATGGCTATGTTAAATAACCAGATGGTATACTAATTGGTGGTTTCAACCCTCTGAAAAATATGAGTTCGTCAGATTGGATCATCATCCCAACTCTTGGGGAAAATAAAATTCCATGGTTCCAAACCAGCAACCATGTTTGGTAGACCATCTATCATCCCATTAATCATCTATAAATGGGTACATCATCTATAAATGGGTCATTTTCCATACCTATGTTAAATAACCAGGGGGTATATGTAAATATCATAGCTATTGAACATGGTCATTTATAGTGGATTTACCCATTGAAAATGGTGGATCTTTCCATAGCTATATTAAATTACCAGAGGGTAAGTGGCCTTTGACCATAATATATATATATATATATAATTTATATTATCAATATATAGTATAATATGTATAAACAATATCATAAGAGCCATATTCAATATGTTATAAATATATATATATATGTAAATATGGTACATATATATTTACTTTGGGATTTTATAGTGGATTTACCCATTGAAAATGTTGGATCTTTCCATAGCTCTATTAAGTTACCAGAGGGTAATCAACTATCTTGTTTTTTGTTACTTATAGTATCTTACATTGATATTCCCTGAATAAATCACCAGATATCACCATTAAATAACCATGAATTTCCTATGGTTTTCCTATGGTTTTCCTATGGTTTTCCTATGGTTTTCCCATTAAAACCTTCATTTTCCTATGGTTTTCCTATGGTTTTATGGTGTTCCTATGGTTTTCCTATGGTTTTCCTATGGTTTTCCCATGGTTTTCCTATGGTTTTCCTATGGTTTTCCTATGGTTTTCCCATGGTTTTCCTATGGTTTTCCTATGGTTTTCCTATGGTTTTCCTATGGTTTTATGGTTTTCCTATGGTTTTCCCATGGTTTTCCTATGGTTTTCCTATGGTTTTCCTATGGTTTTCCTATGGTTTTCCTATGGTTTTCCTATGGTTTTCCCATGGTTTTCCCATGGTTTTCCTATGGTTTTCCTATGGTTTTCCTATGGTTTTCCCATGGTTTTCCCATGGTTTTCCTGCGGTTTTCCTATGGTTTTCCTAATAGTTTTCCTAATGGTTTTCCCATGGTTTTCCTATGGTTTTCCTATGGTTTTCCTATGGTTCTCCTATGGTTTTCCCATGGTTTTCCCATGGTTTTCCCATGGTTTTCCCATGGTTTTCCTATGGTTTTCCTATGGTTTTCCTATGGTTTTCCTATGGTTTTCCTATGGTTTTCCCATGGTTTTCCCATGGTTTTCCTATGGTTTTCCTATGGTTTTATGGTTTTCCTATGGTTTTCCCATGGTTTTCCCATGGTTTTCCTATGGTTTTCCTATTGTTTTCCCATGGTTTTCCTATGGTTTTCCTATGGTTTTCCTATGGTTTTCCCATGGTTTTCCTATGGTTTTCCTATGGTTTTCCTATGGTTTTCCTATGGTTTTCCCATGGTTTTCCCATGGTTTTCCTATGGTTTCCCATGGTTTTCCATGGTTTTCCAATTGGTTTTCCTATGGTGTTCCATGGTTTTCCATGGTTTCCCATGGTTTCCACATTGGTTTTCCCATGGTTTTCCCATGGTTTTCCTATGGTTTTCCTATGGTTTTCCTATGGTTTTCCTCTGGTTTTCCTCTGGTTTTCCTCTGGTTTTCCTCTGGTTTTCCTCTGGTTTTCCTCTGGTTTTCCTCTGGTTTTCCTCTGGTTTTCCTCTGGTTTTCCTCTGGTTTTCCTCTGGTTTTCCTATGGTGTTCCTATGGTGTTCCTATGGTGTTCCTATTGTTTTCCTATGGTGTTCCTATGGTTTTCCTATGGTTTTCCTATGGTTTTCCTATGGTTTTCCTATGGTTTTCCTATGGTTTTCCTATGGTTTTCCTATGGTGTTCCTATGGTTTTCCTATGGTGCTCCTATGGTGTTCCTATGGTGTTCCTATGGTTTTCCTATGGTTTTCCTATGGTTTTCCTATGGTTTTCCTATGGTTTTCCTATGGTTTTCCTATGGTTTTCCTATGGTTTTCCTATGGTTTTCCTATGGTTTTCCTATGGGTTTCCTATGGTTTTCCTATGGTTTTCCCATGGTTTTCC